TGAAAATTGTTCTATATATAGCTGTAACATTTAAACATACATAAGGACATATTGTAAATAATAGAAAGGCCAATTGTAAAATTAATTTAGGGTGGTACACTTGTATGGGTGGTATTACTGATTACCTACCTGTATAATGTACCTGATTAGTATAAGTAGCTTTAGTTTTGAGTAGTTATTAGTTTTATCTTCCTTTTGAAGATGATCACTTGGTGATCGAAACACGTGTCGAGGTGTAAAAATAACGATTTGGTGTTGGGAAAAAACTCCAGTAATATTCATTACTACACCAAAGGTTCCAAACAGTATATCACAAGTTATCTTTATGTAAACAACGAAATAACTACGAGACCTGACTCAAATCTATTAGCGCCCTCTCGTGGCAAGAATTTTCGTGATTGCTCTCATTGTTTTGATGTTACCGCCACTAGATTCAAAATAGATAACTGAATGAAGAATGATTGAATATTGAATCAGATTGAATAACCCTCAGCCGGCTAGCATAGCGACTGAGTGACCATGTGACCAACGACTAGTGCTCGTTTGTACAGCTACAGTATAAGTTTTAGTTTTATACTTGTGGTACTAGTGGTACAGACGAAGATGTAACTCAGTCTTTGGTACATCTTTTTATATTATAGTGCTGTTGCCTTTTGTTTTGGCACTCCGTAGTTTTCTTTAAAAGCGGTTGTGACTATACTAATTGTGAGAAGAAAAAAAATCGAATATGAAGTTACTCTTACTCTTGATGAGTGTTATTGTTATGGCTGTCAATCTCGGCCCATGCAATTGCGGCTTTCCAAATTTTTATGGTGAAATCAAACAACAACCAGTAACTGACGATCCGGGGGTGCCCCTGTTTCTAACCCCACTTATTGAACAAAACAAAATAAAAGAGGCTAAAACTGCGTCCTCTATACATTTCAATGGATTCAAGAATATGGAATGTTATTCTGGTTATTTCACCGTGGATAAAGTCTTCGATTCGAATTTGTTTTTTTGGTTCTTCCCATCAAAATCTAATTATGTTGCTGATCCTGTCATATTATGGCTGCAGGGTGGGCCAGGAGCCACATCATTATTTGGATTATTTGTTGAAAATGGACCTTTCTCTGTTAAGAACAAAAAGGGGCTGAAATTGCGTCCATATGCTTGGACAAATTCCCACTCCGTTATTTACATCGACAATCCTGTAGGAACAGGTTACAGTTTCACCAATGAGGGATATGCTCAAAATGAAACAAAAGTTGGGCAAGACTTGTACAATGCGTTGCTTCAATTCTTTACTATGTTTCCTGAACTGCAGAAAAATGAATTTTTTGTTGCTGGAGAGTCGTATGCTGGAAAATATGTCCCGGCACTGTCTTACACAATATTAAAAAACAATCCAGCTGCAAAATTGAAAATCAATCTTCAAGGATTGAGTATTGGCAATGGATTCAGTGATCCTGAGCACCAATTCAATTATGGGGACTATTTGTATCAAATTGGATTGATTGATGATAGTACATATAAAGTTTTCCAAAATCAAGAACAACTAGGTTAGTCCATTTTTTGTTTACATGTCTTTCAGTTGGCACAAAAAATATGTGTTGAAAAGCAACAAAATAATTTTTTCCTGAGATCTGCAAAAGACAATTCCAATAATTACTTGGCAGAGCACCAGGCAAGTCACCCAATGTGAATAATCTCTCTTGGTGATTAATTTGAATGTTTTTGTGGATTTCTGCTTTGTGTCAAATGAATCACTATTTTTATTTTGGTAAATTTATCACAAGAAAAAGCATCACTTATGTTGTAGTCATAAATGATATTGCATGAATTATTTCAATGTCCATTTTTATTTCCAGCTATCAACTGCATTCAGAACAAAGAATTTGAAAAGGCTTTTGAGATATCTAATAATCTGTTAGATGGAGATTTGAATAATGTATCAACTATCTTCAAGAATGCTACAGGATTCACCAATTATTTCAATTACCTGTATCCTGACGATCCAAACAACATAGAAGTGACAAATTTTGGTAGATATATTCAGAGGTCAGATGTTCGAGCCGCAATTCATGTTGGAAATGCTACGTTTCATGGAGAAGATCGTATTGTGGAACTCAAGTTGAGCAATGACATAATGCAGTCAGTTGCTCCTTGGATGGCCGAGTTATTGAATAATTATAGGGTTTTGATTTACAACGGACAACTGGATATAATAGTACCATATCCACTAACAGTGAACTATTTAAACAATCTAAATTTTAACGGAGCCCAGGAGTACAAAACAGCTCCAAGACTCAAATGGTATGTTGATAATGTATTGGCTGGTTTTGTGAAGCAGGCTGGAAACTTAACAGAAGTTTTAGTGAGAGATGCAGGTCATCTGGTACCTGCTGATCAACCACAATGGGCTGTTGATTTGATTACAAGATTTACAAGAAATAAACCTTTCCACAGGAAAGAGTGAAAATGATAATCACACAGTTAATTTATTAACAATATTAGTTGATGATGCAAAATACTCTAAATTTTTTTTTCTGGACAATATATTTTTATTTAATGTATTCGAGTATAGTAATATGTTTTAGTAGAGAAGTTATTTATTCCAGTGGAATATACTTATGTATATTTGAAATATAATTCTGTGTGAATATCTATTTTGTTCTGGTTTTTAATTATTGCCTTCTCTATCCTCAAACATTTTTTATCTCTTTGCTGGCAGGTTCAGGAAAGAAGACTTCAATGATATATGAAATAAAAATGAAATAATCTAAAAAAGTAGAACACACTAAAGGCATATTACTAAGGTACTATATGGCAACATGAAAATATCAGAATTTATTATTTATAACATATCCAGGGCAATATAATAAAAACTTAACAAAAATGCGGATCTTAAATTTGTTTCAACATTATTTGTACTATTAGGTGTGGTTTATCAATTTTTCTTAGTGAATGCTACAGGTACGAACTTTCATTGTCTGAAAAGGAAAAATATAATTGAAGCATAAGAGTTTATTCTTGAGAAAGCTATCGTATAACGAAACACGTGTCGCGGTTTTTGTAAATCCCTTTATAGTGAAAATCATACAATAAACTGCACTAATTAGGAAAAATAAAAGAAAAAATAAATTAAAACAGATGAAATATTGAAATTATCGAAACTATTAAATGAAAATAAAATATTCGAATGTGTTGGTTTAAATAGAAAAAATTGAAAAAATGAAATAGATGATAAAAAGTATGTTGATTTTCAAAGAAATGGTGACTATTTTTTGATCACAATAATTCATTTTCTCAAAGTTTTTTTTCATTGTCTTCTGTTTCAACCAACTCATTCGAATATTTTGGTTATTTTTAGTATTTTTTATATAATTAATACTTTATTCATTTTCATTTTATTTTTTTCTTCACACCCCGTTAGAAAATGGAGCTTAAACCAATAACATGCATTAGGTATTTAAAATAAACAAATTGGGTGTTCCTTGATTTTTTTTTCAATCGTGTTGCTATTTTAGTTCATGAAGAAATGAAAAACTATCTATATTGAAACTGAGGTTCGAAATCAAGCTGTAAGTTACCTAGGACGTCTTTTTTTGTGTTATCATTAGACACGCAATATTTCTAAGGGTTTCCATACTTTATCCCCATTCCTTATATACACCATTGGACCCAATTGACAATGAATTTATAAATTGTAATCTTAAAAATAGAGAATATTTCACCAAAACGGATTTATATCCACTTGAAAAATGGTCGATAATACATCAGTATTAAAATATCAAATCTTCAACAGGAGTACCACAGGGTTCTGTAGACTGAAACTCGACCGACTTCAATATGACTCGACTGTATATATGAAACCTTCTTCTATGAGAAAGATTCGTTAACTGCATCTCATGCTCCCGTGCACACCGCTGCTTAAGTTGGATATTTCCTGCACTGATGAGAGGTAATATACTTCGTAACAGGTCTTTAGGCGATCTACTATTTTGATTTCAGGGCGGTCCTTCAGCAAGGATGAACTAGGAGCATCTTCAAGACTATTCTCTTACAACCAGCAAAGTTGTTTTATAATTTCATAATGTTGCAACAGTTTTATTTTGTTGGTATTTTATAATTACTTTCAAAATGCTAATTGATTATATTGAACGAACCATTTATTGTAGACAATAAAAGTGTTTTATAAATTTGTCATAGAAATGTTTATAAAATAAAATTAAAAATCTGTTATAAAATAGTCACACAATTGTCACAGGAACATTTTCACAACTAACTTATAAAACATATTTTCCTATAAAAGTNTACCATGAATGATTGTCAAGAAAGACAATCTGTTATCTGTTTTTCCGTTAAAAGAGATTGATTGAAAGTTCCACGAACTTGATAACCTTTTCAAGACCTCAAATGATAAATACCGAAATAAGTTTTATGAATATGTTTTGAAACAACAAAATGCAAGACGAATCTGATGTCTATGCTGATAATTTGTTACGATTGAAGTAAATATTCAGTATAAAAATTTTGTCAAACCTTGAAACAATTGTTTTGTGTAATTGAAAAAATATATCAGGAATTAATCTTATACCTAGGTACTCTTTATCTCGATAAATTGGCGTCAAGATCGTATCTGGAAAATTCAATTGATTATATTCTTATAAATACTGTAATATATATCTGAGTTAAAGAATAGTTCTAATAAAATATTAAAAAAAAAATATAAATATAATATGAAACGAGTCGTTTCAACTATTTTGCTAGTGTTGATCAATTTTCATTATGGAAATTTATCGTTTCCTAAGAAGTATGGCAAAATTTCCACAAAAGCTGTAACTGGAGACTTCGGCGAACCGTTGCTGCTAACACCACTCATAGAGCAAAATCGAATAAAAGAAGCCCAGGCTGCAGCAAGAGTTTCTTTAGAAGAATTCAACCAAGTAAAAAGTTATGCTGCTTTTCTGACAGTGGATAAAATTTACAATTCTAATATGTTCTTTTGGTTCTTTCCGGCTAAAAAAAATTATAAGAGCGCCCCAGTGCTTTTATGGTTGCAAGGTGGCCCCGGAGCATCTTCACTGTATGGTTTGTTTTCAGAAAATGGACCTTTCATATTAAAAGGAGCAGATAAAGTGAGACACCGCGAATACACATGGACACATGATCACTCCGTGATATACATAGACAATCCTGTAGGAACAGGGTTCAGTTTCACAGACGGAGGATATGCCCAAAATGAAACAAAAGTTGGGGAAGATCTATATGAAGCGCTAAAGCAGTTTTTCACTTTATTTCCTGAACTACAGAAAAATGACTTTTTCGTTACTGGAGAGTCCTATGCTGGAAAGTACTTACCAGCGATTGCTTACACCATACTCAAAAAAAATGGAAACGACAACGTGAAAATTAATCTTCAAGGACTTGCTATTGGAAACGGCCTCAGTGATCCCGAAAATCAACTGCAGTATGGTCAATACTTATATGAAATTGGGTTGATAGATACCCATGACAGACAAATATTCTCAAATCTTGAGCAACAAGGTACTGGTAGTTTTATTGCAAATTACTTTAATATGAAAATATTTCAGCTTATTTACCTAGTTCATATGTTAGTTTTGCTCTCCAAGTTTTCAATAATATATATTTCCAATCTAATTTGGTCACCTACAAATATTAGTAAAACTGAAATTTCTCACTTTTCTTCACATGAAGCTTTTCAGAATATTCATTTAAAATATTTCAATATCAACTATTCAATAAATGTTCGATTTAGTTGGAATAATTAATGTCTGTTTGAAGCACACCAAAAAGTTATGTTTTGAACCCATTATCAGTATTACAAAAAGTGTAAAATACTAGAAATTTGCCTTCCTTTAAAAATATTTCGTTTGTATCTACTTCGCTGATGCCATTGGAAACAACTCACTTATCATGAAATGAAACATTCATATAAAATATCAGATTCATTGAAAAATATAAAAAGTATTTGATTTAAAAAGAACCCGTAAAATATATATTCAAATGATGACTGCATAAATGACAATTTTTGAGTTTACTATGCATCTTTTTCAATTTGAAGTATTGCCTGTTAGGTCATTTTTTAATTTATCTCTAAATAAAAAAATGCATCTATAACCTGAAAGAAATGGCCTAAATAAGAACATAAACATTTCTCTATAGGCAAGAAGCAATCAAGTGGGATCAAAATTATAGTTTTATATACATACAAATGTATGCATCTGGAAATTTCTATGTATTGCAAGCAAAAGAATTAATTTTTTCAAAATGTAAAATTTGAATGGCAGCGAGCTTATATGGATAAATAAATTTTAAAATTCTTCAGCATCAGGACTAATATTTCGATTATACATATTGATAATGAAATTCCTATTATTTAATGGGTAAAATTAGACCCTCTGATGTAAAATGAATCTATTGAAAACACTTTTTCCGCACCAGACAAAATTATTGTCTCCTGGCAAGCGTTTTACTAACGAAGTTAACATTATTGGGAGATGACTGAAACTCAAGTGTTACTGTTGCCTTGAATCAGTATTATTTGTTGTGGATATATTTATCAAATGTATTTTTTTTTATCCGAGATTTGTGCCAATAGTTTTATCCAACAGTTCATTACACATACTTTACATAATTTCAGCCTCATAATTAAAATTTGGTATACTATTTTCAAATTGCTTGATTTCAATTTGATATATTCTCTTTCATTCTGTTTGTTTTTTGATAACTATTAATCATTATTCAGTATTTGATTAGATATATTATGTCAATTGAAAAAAAAATTATTGAAAAAAGTTATAACATTGAATGAAATTATTGTAGAGATTCAATAGGCCAAATATATGCAACTAAATTACAAGAGATCTAAAAACTTCAACAATAATTGAAGGGGTAAGTAGATCAGGTTATGTAACATTCTTTGTTCAAATTAGTTTAAAGTTTCAATATTGCAGTCTTATGTACATACATATTTGAATCATTAACAAGATTATTATGTTATATAAAAAACATTTACATTTAATAATCAAATCATATTATAGATTTAAACAATTTCTTGGTGATAACTACAAAAATGCAGGAATGTTACATAACTCCTTCATCTACTCACCCCTTCAATTTCAAAATATTGGTAAATAATTAATATTACGTATCTACAGCTTCATTCTTAATTTATGAATACACAATACTATTTGAGTATAAATTAATTCATAATAGGAATTAACAATAGTGTGTTTCAGGAATAAAATATATACAGAATGAACAATATGACAAAGCCTTCAATGTATTCGACATTTTGATAAATGGTGACCTGACCAAACAAACTACAGCATTCAAAAATGCCACAGGTTTTGACAATTATTTCAACTATCTACAACCAAAGGGGTCACCGAATGATGATATATACCTGGGACAATTTCTTCAAAGAGGTGAGGTGCGGAAAGCTATACATACTGGAAATTTGACATACAATAACGGAGAACTAGTTGAGCAAAACCTAATCAATGATGTGATGAAGCCAATTACGCCTTGGGTATCAGAGATTCTCAGTAAATACCGGGTATTAATATATAATGGTCAGCTGGACATTATAGTAGCGTACCCAAATACAGTCAAATATTTGCAAAAGTTAAAATTCAGCGGAGCTAGCAAATACAAAACTGCAAAGAGGACTAAGTGGTATGTTGGAGATGACCTTGCAGGTTATGCGAAGACAGCAGGTAATCTGACTGAGGTGATAGTCAGGAACTCCGGGCATATGGTTCCAGTTGATCAACCAAAATGGGCTCTGGATTTGATAACAAAATTTACAAGAAACATATCTTTATCTTGAAAGTGTATGAAAGTTAGGATCTGTAAAGGAAATATTTGATTTTTTTATAAAAAGCAACACGGTATTCAGTTCTTTCATTTCTGTTTAATAATCATGAATTGACTTCTGGTGTGTAAAATGAGAGATCCAGGTATTACTTTGGGATAATCTTTTCTACAAGACCTTGCAGATTATACAGATATTGCTAACAATCATCTTTAGATGCAGATGAAGTACCTTAATTTCAAGTGAATTTTTGAATGAAAATAAACACAATAAAAACACAACAGTGTTAACGTTTTTTCGTAGGTATATCTGTTGATAAATTAAGTACGAGGAATTATACAAAAGAAATAATGAAAAAAATATGGAAAGCTCGTTTCTGATGAGGAAAAAAATTAAACTCAATGGAATGGTTTGTCATCACGTTACATATGAGACTCTTAGTTTATACAGCATTAGCTGTAAGCTAATATGTGTGACTGGTTTTTTTTATGATAAAAGTTAAGCCAAATCAAAGCTAATATGTAGAGTCTATGCATAAATTATGTTTTCAGATTGGATCATTTTTTCATTGACTTTTTTTCATTTGACATGAAAACATTCTTTTATTTTAATCAACAATAACATTTAACCTATTACTAGTCAGTTCGTCCAAAGTAATAAATCAATTTTTTTCATGACAATTGAGAAAAGCTTCACGTTCTAAAGAAAATGTTTACAGCATTGAAATGTTAGGGTTTCAAAAAACCAGTGCACATTGTCAAAAAGTGCATAAAAAATATTCCGATATCTATAGACAGGCCAATTTCAAAGTAAGTATCCATGCGTTGTCAATTACTCACTCTACATTACACACGGCACCTTTTAGCTATAAGCTTTGCAGAAATGATGTAAGTCCGTCAGTTTTATCTTATTTTATTCAGTTCTAGACTAAGACCACATTACTAAATACACTCAGACACAACAATATTCAATCATTGAATTCATAGTGCACATCACTCTACTCCATTCAAAACAATTTGGTCATATTCCTTGAAAAAAAAGTTCCAATACATCAGTATTAAAATATCANCAATTACGAACTTAACTTTCACACAAGCAGATTAAAATCATTTGATTTCCTTTGGAAGATAATTGATTTTTTAAATCAATTGAAGTAAACGACGGATGAACAGAAAATACAATTGAACAGTTGTTTATTTTCATGTTCAGCCTTTGGAAGTATTTTGCAACCTAACAAAAAATTGACAGTTTAGAGCACCAATAGTTTCACACAATAAATATGTGGGCAACAGATCGGATGACTGACTTGTATGTCACACTGAACAATCGAGCAAAAAATTGATATAAATAAATATGTCTAGGAAAAGCAACACGTCTTGAGAGTCTTGAAAGAAAGAGGAATGAATTTTAATCTGTATCTGATTGACAATTCACCCTTGATTATGTAGTGTTGTAATGATTTGATACATACTGATCAGAATCTGGTAGCATTTTAAAAACAATTCAGATCAATTTAATGATTGTAATTTCTGGTTCGTCTATGTTTGTTCAATCTGATTATGCTGTGATAATAACGACAAAGGATGAATGTTGACGCAGTTGTTACACAGTTAATTCCGGACAATTGAGGCTTTACAATAAAAATGATTTCATTATTTTCCTGAGCAAGATACACAAATATCAACTTGTACTTGAATTATTGCAAATACTTGCTAAGGACGAAAGTTAATGTAAATTTATTTAAAAAACCATTAATTTTTGGTCCATCATTCAACTCTGATTTTACGACTTTTTCAATGAAATATCTTGCCAGACCGGCAATGGACCTAAAACTCCAAATCCAACATCTATGCAAATCTTCGTTTGAAGAGGTACACCAAGGTCGTATATAAGTCAAAACTTCCATTTACTAAGGTACTATATGGCAACATGAAAATATCAGAATTTATTATTTATAACATATCCAGGGCAATATAACCGTCAGTTTTATCTTATTTTATTCAGTTCTAGACTAAGACCACATTACTAAATACACTCAGACACAACAATATTCAATCATTGAATTCATAGTGCACATCACTCTACTCCATTCAAAACAATTTGGTCATATTCCTTGAAAAAAAAGTTCCAATAAGTGAAAATTTTTCAAAACAAATTTTATATTTACATAACTACATAAAAATTTCTATTGTTAGGCCTGCCTTTCAAACTAATCTTTTCCAGATAAAAATTTCGACAGAAAGTCTTTTGGTTTCGGCTCAACAGTGTCCTTGAAGTATGCCATAATGTGACCTTTCTGTTTCCAAATATTCACAACTTCTTTCAGCTCCATTTGTCCCTGTAATAATAACAAAAATATTATTGAAAAATCATGTCGCCACCTGTAGAATCTTCAAAAAATCCGTATTGTTTGTTCTTTGAGAACAGTTGGGTATAACAGTACATCATAATTCAGTCTACCACCACTTTTGAGATCTATAGTATGGAAGCCAATTTTTATGAAATTTTCAGGAAAGCTTCAGAATACACAAAAAAAAGGAACAATAACTCTCAAAGAGAAATATGAAGAAAATTCCATTTCAATGACTCCAAAACAAGCAATTTTCCAAATCACCAGAACTGTTCGGACATTCAGAAGATGAAGACGCCAATTTGGTTGGTGAAATGTGCATCTAGAAAAGTATTCCGATTCTGGTAGTAAATGATGCTTATTTTTTATTTATTTTATGCCAGAGGTTTCAGTCTCCCTTTCATTTTAATATGAACATCAACAATGTTGACTAACCTGGTTTTAAAACTAGATCTATTTTCTCTAGTGATAAATCATATATTAAACAACTTCAAAAGCACATTTGGGAATTATGTTTCCTGATGTGGCGCATTAGTGGAAGAAATAGACCACATTTACATTTGTTAAGGAAATGTATTTTTAAATCATTTCCACGTAAGTTTATAGTGTTGCGAAGTTTTCTTGAAAATTCAATTGAAAACAGCTATTGCATCATATTCTACACCTTTAGTTTTAGGTATAAAGTAAAACATATTGACAAAGAAAACCCTCTTACCTTAATTATCATCATATCTATAACCCTTACATCTTGAATGTTATCATATTTAGAAAATTCCTCTCTTAGTTTCTGCTTACATTGGGCCTCCGTTCTTGGAATATCATACTGCTTCACTGGAAAGACGAGACAAGTTAGCACCTATGTAAAAGTGATTCTTAAATCCAACTGAAATATAACCGCTCAAAAGATTTTGAAAAAAAAACAGTGGCAAAGAGTTTTTGAGTATACTTTAATTGACGACTATCGAGAAGAGAAACGAACAAACTGAGAAAATATTTCAAATCAAAATTCAAAATATCAATCTCATCCAACATTACTTTGGCTGATCCTATGACAGACTTCGGATTATATTACATTTTATTGCTATATCCGTTGGGAAAGGTGAATATTTTGAATTTCAATTTTAACTATTAATTTTATCATTAGTTTTCTTATTTAGGTTTTCAAACAAATATTGAAACCTATAAGAAAAATGATACTAGAAGGGCAGAACCTGATTTATGCCTGGAGATAGTAGCATTTTTTGTAAGCCGTTTTGTTGGTTGGGTGAATATTAAAAGAAATAAGTAACAGGTTGGCTCATTATGTGTTTTCGATTAGCGTGAACCTGTAAGTAATTTATAGACATACTGTTGTACATCACTAATTTTACCAAAAATACAATTGCTTTACAAATTTCTGATAGTTTTACGTCAACCGCTGTCGATACCAAATGCTGATTCAGGGACACTTCTTGTCACCACTCAATTCTTTGTTGACAGAAAAATTTGGTACTGTTACTGTTAAGTTGGAAAACAGTTGCTGGGAGTTTATACAAACCTATATATGGAAGTTGCCTGTACCAAGCTTTGTAGAGATTCAGAACTCTCTGTCGTGCTTCGGTATGATCTAGAGATAATAATGGTTTGACTTCTTTAATAGTCCTTTTTGCTGCTTGCGAAGCCATTAATAGAAACTTATTACCAGATTTTTAAAAATTGATTAGCAGAGCCTTTGACAAATTCAATGACATAACTTGACAATTTTGACCAGTGACGTATTGTCATGTCAATATTTGAGTGCAATGATTAGTGACAGGTGACCTATAACACAGAACACCAATTTTCTGCTAAACCACTCTCATGCTGCATTCGAATTTACGCCCGGAATGCTCAAACCTTGCCCCGAATAACCTTATAGCATATTTTGTGGTAATGGCCAAGAAGAAGTAAAATATCGATGATTCAGCATTAGGTGAACATTAACTTTGAGAAGGTACCCACGTTATCGTGTTTGAAAAGACCCAAGTGCTCGACAGAACTCAGAGTTACTTTCCAAGATTACGTATCAGTTTGAAATCAAGAGACAGTTCCAACCGAAAGGTAGAGGGAATTCACATCATTGAAGTCTGGCTACCTGCACTAAATTGCACTTGTATCAGGTTACTCAATTCAGTCGATAGAAACGAAGTCTTGCTCACTACCGATGAAATGAAACAAGATAATCAATGGACTACTTGTATGTTTTGTCACTTTCGCTCGAATGCCAATAAAACTTTTCTATTTATTATTTCCAAGATAAATCTTCACCTACATTTTCAAACATGCACTGAAAAAAACTGACTTGAATATTAATAGATTTTACGTAATATAAAACCACTTTCACAGGGCTTGTTGACGTCATAAGTCGGCTGCGTCGATAACATACCAAATAGCTGTTGTTGACATTAATATTATATTGAGTTGATAAACCTATCCCAACCTCAATATAACTGCTCCTAAACTAGGCAATGCCCGAGTTTTCTTTGTTACAGCTCAGCTATTGACTGCAACGTTACAAATTGAACCGATAAATAGTTAATCCAGTCACTAATTCTTTGCCATCTTCTGGCGTATGGAATAAAGAAGTTTCGAAAAAAAAGAAACAATATTAATGAAAATTTAGGAAATTGTGTAGATAATCTCCTGATATTTCTTCCAGACACAGTTTGAAAAAATAAGATTTACATTCTCCATTTTCTATTTGCTATTTGCCGAAAAAGTAGAGGAAGGTAGGTCTGAAGTGAGTCAGTCTTTTCAACCTTCTAGTACAACCCGCGTGGATTTATTATGAATCACACTTATTCAAATCGACCAAATAAATCCAGCTTCCCAACGAACCCGTTTTTTTAAATTGGTGAATGAATTTTCAGGTCAGCTGGCAACAGTGGGACTCTGCCAAATGCTAGAATCTGATTCAATTAGCGGCTGGGCAGGCAAAGAGTCCAGAATTTTCAAGTGACGAATAATCTCCTCCGTGGTTGACAGACCATGGCACATTTTCCTCTATCGAGTAGGAACTTCGCATTGGCCGACTGCCTGCGACTATCTTCTTCAGGAAGGTAAGCAACACATGGTACTAACTCCACCCATCAGCCAGGATACGCTCTCCTGATCCGCTTAGGAAGTCTGTAGCCATCCAGCCATCCATGTGCAGCTTCGAAATCGTACCTCACTGAAGTTGTCAGATGTTCAAGGCTTTCTACCATAAAAGGGCGCTCGGTATCTCGCAGGTTCTGTTAGTGACACAAATTAGAGTCATAAATCTTCTCAGCACGGATACACACACTTTAGGATGAGGCATCCTTTAGTAGGACTCTTTAGGTCCAATTCATACAGAAACTCATGTCAGAAACGATGCTTTGGCATGGTACGGACGTGACGGACGCGTGGCGTATGCAATGCACACAGGGGGGCCGAGAAAGGACGTCAGTAACATGTTGGTTTTGTGGACCGCAACATGGCTTTTTCAAGTAGTGACAAAGATGACGAAGATATGTTGGTTTTGGTGTATTTTATCTGCATTTTTCTGCCAGGCCTGGTCTTGGGGACTCGTATTAAAATAATCACGATTAAAATCAAATAAACGATGATATTTGCCAACTACTATGCAAAATTGTGAGTCATTCCGCATTTTTGAGGATGAATACGGAGAAACACGTGGCGAGAAACTGGCGTGCCTCTTCTTGTACGCCACGAGAGACGGGGCGAGGGTGGGAGGGCGACCGCCCTCGCCACGTCACTTCTGTAAACATTGCATCATTTGTTCTCATCTGAGAGACGCGGAAGGGACAAAGGTCCGTGCCTCGTCTCTGCCAGATGCCTGTTTTGTGTGAACTGGGCCTTACCTACACGGGTCACACCTCACCTGGCAGAGGTAATCTAACGCCTCTCGCTACAGGGAGTGGAGAAATATCAATAATATACATACATACATTTGAAAAATTTGAAACGTATATATATCATCAACCACGTTTGAAAAAAAAAGAAACATTACAAAAAATAAATGGCAATTTCAGGACAATAGTAAAATGAAATAAAAAGTTTTATGTTTGAATCACTGTTGGCTGAGAAATTCAGTTTTAAGTTCACTTTTGAATAGTGGTAGTGATAAATTTTTCAAAGATTCTCTGAATGAATTATACATTGTTTCAGCATGACACTTGAAGGATCGTTCTCTATAAACGATCCGGTTATGATTCGGAATGTCAAAATTATTGTTAAATCTAAGGTTTCTTGAGTGTATCTGATGTCTGGGAAGGAGTTTATTTATCAAATAAGTGGGTTTTTGTTTTTTTATCAGTTTGTGAATGAAACAGGCGAAATGCAATTCTCTTCTGTTTTGCATTTTTAACCAATTCAGTTGATTGATTGAAGGGGTCACATGATCTTTGTAATTCAAGCTGAATATTAGTCTAATGCAGGCATTCTGTATTTTCTGAATTCTTGCAGAAGTTATGGAATCGATACAAGGGCCATAGACGACATCGCAATAGTTAAACATAGATAGAATCAGTACGTCTGAAACGGTAATTTTGAGAGACCTACTGAGATAGTGTCTGTATGAATACAGATGTTTCAGAATACCGTACGTTCTTGAATGAGAGTATTGACTTGATGAATAAATCTGAGGTTGTAGTCTATATGATACAAAAAAAATGGTTCACTAGGAATAAGTTGATTTTGAATGAATTTAAAACTAATCTTATACTTTTTAGAACTAATCAATTACAGATAGAACGACCTCAAAATTTGAATATTGAAAACATCACTATAAAATATTCAGAAGACACCAAATTTCTAGGACTTCAAATTGATGAATTCTTGAAATGGAACAAACAGACTGAATATACAGCTAACAAATTGAGTAAAATTTCGTATGGACTAAAGGTGGTTCACAAATATCTCAGCAAAGAATCGGCAAAAATTTTATATTTTTCCAATTTTGAGTCTGTAGCTAAATATGGAATCATATTTTGGGAAAACAATAGTAATATAAATATAATATTTGTAATTCAGAAAAGAGCAATCAGAATGATGAGTAATTTGAAGTATAATCAATCGTGTAGAAATATCTTCAAAAATAACGGGATAATGACGATATATGCTCTTTATATTTATGAATGCTCAATGTTTGTATTGAAAAATAGGCATCTGGTCTTTAACAATAATAAAATCAACATTCCTATGGAAGAGGAAGAAATTATTTCGTGCTCCCTATACATAGGTTAACCATAACAGAAAAAACTCCTCATTACATGTCAATGAAGCTGTACAATAAATTGCCTAATCGAATCAAATATTTGAGAAGTATTAGGAAATCTAAAAAAGAAACCAAAATATTTAATAGATTTAGAACCATATAGTGTTAGTGGCTATTTAGACCAAACCGAATTATAGAAATGTATATATTTATGAGTATATGTAGTCTTTTTCATTTTTTTCGTTGACATTAGTTCATTCTATGTTGTCTGGATACAAGCTGTAATAGTCGGCATATTTTTGAAATAAAGATTATTATTATATGAAGTCCTAAACATTTCATTTTGTCAGTCAATTCCACAGAATGTCCATCAATATACAAATCGATATTATCTATGGCCCTTCCACGATCTTTGGCTTTTCCAAAAATTGTTAAAGATGATTTACTAGGATTAAGGTAGAGGTAAGGTAATCAGGTGAAAAGTGACCTGGGATCAAAAATCAGAGTTGAATAGAAAAATTTCTTCAAGGAGAATTATTCATTTCCTCACTGTATCATACAAAATTGAGTTACTTCCTGGCAGAATTGAAAACAGTAACCATATTAACGTCGTTAGGGGATCACATTACGCGGTCAATTGCGAAGGATGAAGCAGAGAAAGCTTCTCGCGCTTTCCGCCTTTGAATTTGGTCGGATTTTCCACTAGCACGGAAGTCATGACATGGAACATTTCCTTGGCGGAAAACTCCTGAAATAGGAAGTAATATAGTTTTGCCTCGAGCGAAACCAGTTCTTTTATGGTGTGGATTAAACTCGATGATCTCGTGCCCTACATATTGAGTAACAAATCCGGATAATACTATTTTCTTCGGTAATAATTGCTGATTACTTTGTGATACGTTGAGTTTTTATTTTGCTCTCGATTGAATCGAGTCCTGTAAAGTAGCGGATAGGTGAATCGCATGTTATGAGATGTTGATGGACTGATATTTCCATTAAAAAAACTTCGCTAACTTTTTCTATCGAAAACATAAATCTCCTAAAGTTAATATCTAACATATAATTCATTATAACATTAAAATCAACAGTTCAAAAATAACTTTTCAAAACGCCCAAAGGTGCGAACTCGTTTCCTCCTTTTCATAAAAGAGGATGTATGCATCTCCACTCACAAGCGATTTTGGTGAAATTGGTGACACGTGTGAATCATTGTATTCGTGCCACGTGCCAGTATAAGGATGTCTGCAGAATGCTGCATAATGTCCGCTGCAGGCAGGTAGACTGTCGTGAAACAAAACTAGTTTGGAATTTCACGAGCTCCAGTACAAGGACCGCCCACTCAGAATGAACATCAAGAAAACGCGGAAAAACATTGGTTTTCCCAAGATACTTCAGCTTAGTTTTGAAAATTAAGTTATGAAACATCGTCTCCTAAGTGTTAGAAAAATCTCTTGCAAGATTAATAGCATTTGTTTAGATTCCTACATAGGGGAAACGGCGATTTTCTGGAAAATGCCATTTCCATTCAGATAGATAGGTAAATCA